AGAGGACAAGGGCTTCGTTTTGTTAATAAAGGAATTATCTGAAGCTGCTCCCTTGGACTTTGTCGAGACAGCAGAGATGCCTGTGTGTCAAGGAAGGGTCTCCTTTGCAGCAAGAGACCAGCCCTTCAGCACAGAGGACGTGCAGGAAGTGCCCTGCATTCAGCTCATGCAAAAAGGACACTGAGACACAAAATACAACTTAAGAAGAAAGGGGCCAAAAACCAGTCCCCTGTTTTGTTCCACTTCTCATCCATGACATGAGCATTTGTCGACAATAAGCCTGTCTGTACAGCTTACCCTATTAACCAGTCCCTGTCACAGTGTGAGTAGACAAGAAAGATGAGGAGGAGAGATGTGAAATTGTGGTGGAGGATTTCTCAACAAGGTGACAGAGGCAAAACAGGGGGCCACGAGGAATCACTAGGCCTGGCATCCTTTTGCTGCTAGAGCAGCATGTGGGCCTGATTTGCGGCTTCAAATGGAATGTCTAGTGAGCCAGCACGGCCATCATCTGGGAGGTAGGAAAGGTGGCCATGTTGAAAACTGGAATGATAGCATCCTGTGTTCCACTGCACAAGACTGTAACAGTGGAGTTAGCAAGTGGCAAACATAGCGGCAAGGATCAAAGCCTACACATTAGGAATCAAACTTCAATACTTCTAGAGAAAAAAGACAAGCAAAATAAACTCATCAGGTGCTTTATTTCACCTTAACAATTTATAAAATCAATTTACAAAACCATTTGTAAAAATAAAATGAATTGTTAGAGGGAACTTTATAGAGACCCAAATTGTTGAACTTAATTCATAAAACCAAAATGGTTCAACTTCCCAGGCATCAAACAGGCCCTGGGCACACATGATCTTTCTACCATATTCGTACTATGCTGACTACATCTCCACATCTTCCATCATTACCATTTCCAACAGCCAAACTCAGGGGCGCACATAAGAACTGGAATTTGTTTGACTCAATGAGAAGCTGTCAATAACATTTCAATTTGATCAGATTCTACCTGGTCTTTTCTGACTTTCCTTTATCTATGCAATGATCATCATCAAATCTGGCCCTACCTCGTATCAGCCTGAACAGAGATGGATAAAGTCAGAACTAACGTCACTGGTAAGAGAGGAGAGGAGATGCATCTCCCAACACACAGCAGTTTCAAGAAATTCTCAGGTATCAGAGAAACACCAATAGAATTCAGGAGTTTCATATTCCTTCTCATTTTTCCCATCCCCTTTATCTCACCAGTCCAACTCTTAGTGCAAAAGGGACTCTAGGGCAGCTATCCCAAGGAGGCAAATGGTCACTTTCTGCTTCTCTAAAATACCCAGTCTAAAGGTGGTAGTAAGTGGGGAAGTGGTGCTGGCCTGCAGAGTAGAAATATGAAAAGTGTTCTCAGATTTACTCCCATATTACCATCCAGTTCTTCCATGTTATGCTTATGTTAATTGGAGAATTTTTGTTTAAAATATTTTATTAATGATCTTTCAACCTGATCCATCTTCTTTGTCCCTCTTAACGAGGAAGGTGCAAAAGAGCCCACCCATAACCAAGAGGATGCTCACATAACCTGAGAAAAGGAGAGTGGGCCAAACCAAGCCTGCGCTTGGAAGCTGATTCTAGCTTGCATTCTAGTTGGAAATAGAGGCTTTCTAGTCATGCTGGTTGGAAACAATTTTGCAATTTGCCTTTCAATTATGATTCAAAGTGCTACAGAAAACAAACACAGTGGGAGCCCACAAAGAGGACCTTGTCCTTTCTGTGAGATTCCCAGGGGAGGTGCATTTACTGGAGATCTGTTTGATAAGTAGGTGTTCACTGGGGAATGTGCAGGGCTGTGGATTGAGGGTGGAGGAAGTAGCGAGCATTTGGGCAGAAGATACTGCACTTGAGAAGTAGCAGAGCATGTGGAAGGAACGGAAAGGTGCCCAGGAGACTGGAGTACAGAAAGTGAAGGAGAGAGATGCAGTGGGAGGGAAGTGAGGCCACATCATGTGGGCCTTGTGGGACATGGGAACAGTTTGCATTTTATCCTATAAGCCATGGGAAGCCATTAGCAGGGGTGCACTGGTTTTAAGTACTGAAGCAACCATAGAGATGTCTATTTTTAAGGCTACTCTGTGTGTGGCCGTGTTGCCCTGGTGTTGTAGGCTACAGAGCAATGCAGGCTTTTGCCCAAGCTACTCCACCAGGCAACACAGACTCTGGCCCTGAGGGGAATGGGGTGGTCTGAGAGAGTTGACATGTCCCTGTGCTCAGAGCACTCCTTTGGGTGGCCCATGTGCTGGTTTTGGCACAAGGATTTGGCCCACTCACAGACAGCCTATCCAACTTCACTGCTTGGAATTCTCATCCCTGACTCCAAGCTTAGCCTATCTAGATCATACTTTAAAAAGCTGTCCTGCCATCCTGTGGTGAGCTGCACCCTGCTCCCCAGGGGCAAGCTGCTGGTGCATGGGCTTGAAGCAATGAGAAGACTTCCTGCCCATTCCTGCTGAACATAGCCAGATGCCCAGCCAATGAGACCAGGTTGGAGGTACTTAATTCCTGTTTACCTGAACAGAGTGACATTTTTTCCAGAAGCTCAGGTGCCCAACTTATAGCGTGTCAATGTGAACTCTGGATCGTACACCAGCCCCTCTTTATCAATATTTAATAGGTCATGTATTTTAGCATTGTGTTTTGGGTTCCTTAGGGTCTGGCACGTTGCAGGATATAGAATAGATATTCAATTAATACTTAATACATTAAATTAAACAGCAACCGTATTGATGGGTTGGTCTGAATGTTGGGCCACCTGGAACCACATTCCCTGGCCAGTGTCATAGCTGACACACATGTGGCCAGGCATACTGCTACCGACTCCCCCAAAACCCTTGGCCACTGTCAGAACACCAGCCTCCTATCTCACTCAGTTCATAAAGTGCTGGCCCATTGGCATGTCTGGAAGCCACCATGCAAAGGCATTTAGTATATGCATCGAGGAGGGGTAGGAAAGATGTAATCAAGGTAAGAGACACAGACAACAAGAAAGGGAAAGGAGAGTACTAATAGCATGCAGCATCTACTGAGCAGCTACTCGCTACCAGATGCTTAACACACATGATCGCTCAGACAGTGGAGCTCAGGCAGGTTAAGGGACTCGTCAAATCCTGACAGTCGGGAGAAGGCAGGTCTGGGATTCACAGATAACATCTATGCTGTGCTTAGCTCATAGCACCGTGTGGACAAAAGCCCTCTGCTCAGCACCAAACCTCTTCACACCCAGGGGCCTTGCCACGTATGCTGCCCTCTCAACATCTGTCTCTTCCCAAACATCCTTTTCCCCCTCTCACTCCCCTCCCTACCCCTGCCCCAGGAGAACAGATGCATTCCAGATCTTGGTCCCCAGATCCTGACCCCTCCCTCCAGTTTCCAGACATTTCCTGCTGTAAGTAATTTACTGCTTCTGGGATGATGGGAAATCAGTCCTGGGCAGTAGCGATCCTCCCCAGAGATTTCCTTAAGGAACTCTGAGCCAGGGTTGAGTGGGTGAGCACAATCATGGCTTTGCATTTTCCAGAGACCTTCACCAGGCGTCTCACAGCAGCCAGGAAGTGGAGGCAGATGAAATGAGAGTTTGAAACCCCTGGAGGCCTTCACTTCTGCCTCTTCAATTAATTGAATACCATACTTTCAGAGGACTGGAGTCTTGGGCCACTGGCTAAGGTTAACAGAACCTGCAGTGGGAAGCCCGCCTCCTCATGCAAAGATGACGTTATAGATAATGGTAGGGTGGGTAACAGTGTGGGGACTGGAGCCCTAACAAGATCCCAGAATAATCATCAAACCAGAGGAGACATGTGCTGAGTAGGGAGAGGTAAAGACGTGCTTGCTAACAGCTGAGCATCCTGGCCTGCAGTCAGAGGCTGGCTCCCCAACTGGAAGAAGAAAGAATGGGTCCTGTGGGCACTGCCCAAACACCCATCTACAAAGTCAGCACCTGGTGTTAAGGCATCAAGAGATAGGGAATGAGCTTCGCATTTGCCAGAAGTCCTCTAAGTAAAAGGACTGAGTAGAGGACCCAAACTTCTGATAATAAGTTTGGGGTGAGAGTAGGAAGCCCTCCAAGGGACAGAGTGGAATTATAGTAGATAATTGCCAAATGCCATGTAAGAGACTCTCAATCCATTTAACGGTAAGGGCTTTCCTTTTATGACAGAGGGGTACAAGTTGGGGTCAAGAGGGAGGAGGGGCTGCTCACTGGCCCCAGCTGTCCCTGCCCTGCCCTTATCCCATGTATCATCATTCTCTCATGGGTTAGACGGTCTCCCAATTACTTGCCCATCCAGAGTTTCCACATGTCTCTCTTCAGCCCCAAAGATGGGACAGTCAGAATCTTATAACATTGTTAGTTAAAGCTTTGTGCCCTGTGCCCTAAGTGTCAGTGCCCTGAAAGAAATCCCTGGACACTCCTTTGCTGCCTCTGTTGGGAATCGGTCTGCCCGAGCGGCACATCCACCCCGCAGAGGCACCCGTGGTAACCAGTGACAGCTGAAGGACTGCCAGCAGCCTGAGTGGGGTCCACGCTTGATGCATCCCTAAAGCACCGTCTTAACTTCCATCATGTGACAATTCTTTGTTAAATGTGTAGATGGTTGGATAGATGGATGAATAATCTGATAGGTGAATGACTAGGTGAATAAATGAGTGAATAAGTTTGCATGATAGCTATCTGGGGTAGGAAATGAAACTGTTACCTGTGGAACATTTATTTCTCTGTATAAAAACACAAAAGATGCAATTTTGACTGGAACTCTCAGCCTGAGTCATATGCTAACTAGCAGAGCTACTCTGTCCAGAAAGACACCTCATGGCACTGATTAAGTCCGACTTGCTGGGGCCATTGCCATGGTAATTATGGCAGCACCACCACCATACCTCCTGACAGCAGGCCTCTTAGAAGGAAGGTAGCCAGAGATTTTTCAGTGACCTGTTCTCTGTTTTCTTTTCAGATTATCAAGGAGGTCCCTCCACCCCCTGCTGAGGAGAGTGAGGTAAGTGACCACAGCAGGATGGCGGCGGGTGGGCGGGGTGGCAGAGTGGGGTGGAGAGCTGGCTGGGCTGGGCAGCCGGACACTTAGCCCCCTACGGAGCAGAGCTAAGTCAGGCCCAAAGAATTTAATATACCTGCCTGTGAAGCAGAAGGGAGGAAAGTCTCTGACCTTTCCTAACCAGGGATGAACAAGAAACTGAACTAAACTGCCAGAAAAGACAATGGATTTTGGAGGTTTTCCTCCCTGCAGAGATAAAATTTGAGACGTAAACAAATGTTTTTATCAATACAGTTATTTGGAGCTTTGAGATACTGACTTTTCCTCTCAAACAAACCCTAAGATTCTCTTCTCCCTGCAGAGACTTAATGCTTTATGTGTGTAGATCAGGCGCGATTTGCTGCATTCTCCAATCATTGGCTCTAGGAATAGCCTGATGCCAAATACTTCATTTTTCTTTAATTTAAAAACAATATTATCTAAAGATTTGCCAGGCAGTAATGAAAATATGCTGGAGAGGGATATGTTAATATCCTGGCCTTCCTCTCAAATCCTCATCATCTAAAGAAAAAAATTCTTGGACTCTACCACTGAATTGGCCAGTAAGCAGTTCTGATGCAAGGGTGGCCTGGGGTAGATTACAGTGGAGGCATTAAAGGCTAATCATGAGAAATGCAAGAGTGTCTATCAAGTGGCTTAGCTAATCTGATCACTCTCAGTACAGCTGGAGTCTCTAGAGGTAACACCCACCAATTCAGAAGCCAGGGTTACATATCTAAACACTCAATGAGACCAAAAGATATGTTGATAAGCTTTCAAGTTATTGTCCTCAATCCCTAAGGTCTGTTGTGTGCAAATCAAGTGCCAGTTCCTCACCCTTCCCCTTCCAATGCCTCTGTCAAGTTTCCTACATACAGAAAGAGTAATGATTAAATTAAAACTTCCATGTGGCTCTTATATCCTGAACCATATGCATGTAAGCCAAGGGATTTAATAGCTGCAATCAATTAAAGCACATCTTGTTGGAATGCTAACTTTCTGCCCAGAAATCAAGGGAGGAAATTACATTGCTGTGCAAAGAAGGAGAAAAAACCTTCTTTACATACATAAAAACCTTTCCTTAATCCTTCAAGAGAAAGTACCGTGGCTAGTTCCACGACTGCAGTTGGCTTTGTTTCTGTTGTGTGCAGCTATCTCTTAGACTTCCAGAACATAAAAAATAAAATAGAGCAAGGAGCTCCCTTATTAGGACCGCTTTGTTTGCCTGGAGACAAAGAACATTCCCTCCCTTGTTGTGTTCAGTTAGAGGGGTTGTGGCTCTTTCTTTCGGCTCCTGCTCTGCGTTTGCCTTTAGAAGGTGACGTGGCAGCCATAGTGGGCAAAGTACACCTGGGGATGTAGGTGTAAGACTGGGCTCTGACTTACCCCAGATCCAACGTCTAGCCTAGGGTTTCACATGCAGTACAAGCTCAGCAGGGACTTTCAGGATGAAGGACACAGCAACACAATTTTGGAGCCAAGTGAAAAAGCCCAAACTAGAAAACCATCTAGGAAGAATAGCTAAAAGCAAGGAAGAGAAGTAGTTGAGTTTTTTCAGTTTCATAAAAGTTGTAGAAAGCTGACTTTATTTCCCAAACAGAATGGCAACCTCAGAATGCTTGAATCTAAAGGGTTGTGTTAGGCTTAAAAGAGTTTTTGGGCTGAAGCTTCCTCACCTGTCCCCTGTCACTCTATCAAAGGGATAACCACGTGAACACCTGCAGTTCATTATACTTGGCCAGACCTGGGCTGGACAGATGACTAGTACATTTCATTTGCTGATGAAAAACAAAACATCCCCTTCCTGGAGCCTAGACCCCCTCCCCTCCTTCATTTCCCTTTGAAACCCTCTGACTTAATCATTCAATATGATGTCAGAAATAAATCAAGAAACTACCCAAACTGGAGACCTAGGCAATAAAAATTTAAACATTGTACTTTTTAGCATCAGGCACTTTTTAGCACGTGTGTTGGCCCTGTGAGTTAGTCTGCCTAATCTTCTTCCTGATGTATTTTGGAAGGAAAATAAAATAAAAGAACAAGAAGAAGAAAGAAAGAAATCCCACAGAAACAGATAACCTAACATAGCCCGCGCAAAGTATTTTATACAATGCTCTGAAAATCATAGTCTCGATCTAGACAGTCTTTTCCTCTAGTTCCCTGTATTCAAATTCCAGTGTCTAACACTCAACAGATAGCTATACGCCATCAAACACTCTCTGCCATATATATGAAGACCTTCAGTATTATTTATCCAAACTTTCAGCAGTTCTTTAAGTATCATATTCTGAGCATGTCTACTATTTAAATAACTAAACTTAGAGAATGAAGATAACTTTATAATAAGCTCTCAGTATATAGATCTTTATATATATACTCATATATATATTATTCATATATATAATATATACAGTATATATATCTCAGTATATTATATCTTTATAATAAGCTCTCTTTTTAATAAAAAAAATACAAAAATTCATATTAGAAAAAGGAACTACTTTCTGAGATTCTGTGTAATCAACAGTGACACACTTGTATAAAGAGGGTACAAAGAGAAATTACTTGAAACTTGAAGAGCTCAGTAAAAGCAAGGAAGGTCCATTTTAACAACTAAAAGGGACATTTCTGGGTTAAGGGTCTTCTCAAGTGGCACCAGTGAGGATCCCTCCCTAAGTCTCCAGTTATTCCGAATAACTGGCAGTTCATGGGAGAATGCAGTAATGGAGCACTTCATGTGGTGGTTTTGTTCTGCATGTAATCACCTTCCATGGATTTTATGACCATATTTGAGTTTTTATCTGCCTCATTAGCCTGCAAAAAACAGAGACTAGTTCAAGCTAGTCCAAGATGAAAGAACTCAGGTAGACTGTGGAAAGAACTGAGGCAGCTCCAGACACCACCCTCATGGGCTTTCGATTTCACTGCTAGCAGCTCTGCTTCTCTCTGGGAATTTACTCCCTTCTGCCTTCTCTTACTGGCCTCCTCTCTGCCCTTGTAACTCTGGTTTGTAGAGAGCCCTCTCCCCTGACTCTATCTGATATTTTCTGTCTTCATTTCACCATCTGCCCCCAGTGCTTATAGCCTGAGTCTCTCGGTTTCCATCTTCCGGTTCCCAACAGGGGAAAATACTTGGTCCAGCTCATCTTTTCACTCCAGACCATAGATCATCAGTCACAGCTCACAGCCAACCGACAGACTGGCGCTCTTGGGTCACATCTGGCCAAAGAGAAGCTTCCTAGTAGGCCCCGTGGCCCTGGTGAGAATAGCTCCCCTCAGAAGGAGGAGTGGACCTGGTGCAGGCCCTGTGGCCTCTCTGAAATAGTATTGTTTCAGAAACGAAACTTCGGCCTCATTAAATACCATCAAAATAAAAGCTACACCCAGGAATCTATGCCATATTCTCCCAACATCTGCCACTTATACAGGCTCCCAAAGATCCTATCGTTCCCAACTTTATGCATATTTGAAAGGCAACAGAGAGCAGGAAGCCCCATGATTGAATGTAAAGTGGGTTATGGCTTAGCCCCAAGCAGCTCCATGTCTCAGACACACACAGACCTACACATGAAGTAAATGTGCTGGAAAGAGAAGATGCTTCCTTTCCCATGTGCTTTCTTACTCTATCAAAGGCATAGCTCCAGAAACACCTGCCATTTTCTTCCTTAATCACACTGCCTTGGCCAGACCTGGGCTGGACAGATGACTAGTACATTTTATTTGCGATGAAAAACAAAACATTCCTTTCTTGGAGCCTAGAGCACCTCCCCTCCTTCATTTCCCTTGGAAACCCTCTGGCTTAATCAACTAAATATTGTGTCAGAAATAAATCAAGAAACTACCCAAACTGGAGACATAGGCAATAATAGATAAAACATTGTACTTTTTAGCATCAAGCAAATCAAGGTCTTAGAATCTGACTGGAGGGACATTAGAGAAGTCAAATAGGATAGAGGTAAAAGGTATGTAAGTAATCCTAATGTTTTTTGATATTTAAAAATCTTATTTATTCAACAACTCTAGAATGAGTACCTCCTGTGGGCTAACAGCACGTGTGAGATTCTCTGCCAGAGTTGCCTTAGGAGAGTGTGTAACTGGGCCAGGCATAGTGGCTTAGCACTTTGGGAGGCCGAGGTGGGCAGATAAATTGAGACCAGCCTGGCCAACATGGAAAACCCTGTCTCTACTAAAATTACAAAAAATTAGCTGGGCATGGTGGCACATGCCTGTAATCCCAGCTGATCAGGAGGCTGAGGCAGAAGAATTGCTTGAACCTGGGAGGCGGAAGTTGCAGTGAGCCAAGATCACACCACTGCACTCCAGCCTGGGCAACAGAGCGAGACTCTATCTCAAAAAAAAAAAAGAGAGAGTGTGTGTGTGTAACTGGACGTTTATAAAGTTGGTGGCCTAATCAGTCCTAATCAGGAAGAAAGGCAGAGATTCCTGGTGGATATTGCATGTGAATGTATAAAAACTAATAGTAATAGTGGTTAATTACTAAAGATGACATTTATTGAGCATTTATGACTATCCAGGCAGTGATGTGAAGCACTTTTTGTGGTATATTTCATTTCATCATTCAGCAGCCCTGAAACAAAAGTGTGCTATTATGAACTCCTGTCTTATAGATGCAAAACTGAGGTATAATGAGATTAAAATACCAATTGCCCCAAGATTTCAGTTATTAAGTGATGGGACTGGGATTCAAACTTGTACCTGAAAAAGAAGCATAGAGCAGTCTTTCCTCACCCGTCCCTGAAGATGATGTAGCTCCTGCAACCAAGAGCAAGGCCTCCGCTCCTTGTTGGGAGCATCAGGTGCCCCTTTCTTGAGTGGCAGTGCCACCCCTCTCTGACCCTGTCACTCAGACAGGGCACACAGCCCCTTTTAAGACTGATGTAAAGATGGCTACTTATTTTCTGTGCTCTGTCTGTGGCCCTAGTGTGTAGCTATTCTCTTTAGCT